TTCTAACTTTTCTGGAATTCACAAAATCCTTTTTTCATGTCTCTATTTTTTCCGACCCAACAAAATAACTTTCCACTTCCTGGATCCTCCTCAAATGTTTTTCCATACAATGCTGCATATCTAGTTAGTGATAATTACCCCACAAATTGTAGACCATAGCAACTTGGTCCTCCACCAATTGCTTCGTCCCAACAGCTTAATTTACCATCACCAGCTTTCCCTTTTTTATAAGTGGCAATGAGCGGAACCTACATATGAGGAATTCTATCAGCATTGTCTCCCTCAACGCAAGAGCAGTCGTGAAAAAGAGGACACAACTAAGAAGTGTGGCTGCTGAATTTGACACAGATGTTTTGTGCATTACAGCGTCTTGGGCTCACTCTCTAATTTCAGACTCGGCACTCAATGTAGATGGCCGCAGTTTATACCGCCAGGATCGTGTCAAAAATGCGGCGGTAGTTGCCTTCTTTACATAAGAGCCTCACTTGCACAGTCGCCTTATGACCTGAACATTTCCTCCTTCTCTGGAAATTTATGTTTCGCTTCGGTAGTCATTCGGCAGAGTAGGACAACCTTAGTCGTATGTATATATAATCATCCTTGTTACTCCGGAAAAGAAAGCCAACTTTGTGAACTCTTTGAAAAAATGGCAAGAATTTCTTTCGATGTCAAGATCATCGTAGACGATTCTAATTTGGCTCAAATTGACTGGCACACAGAAGCTTCTTCACACCATTTACTATTCAAACCTGTCTCAGTTAGTCCACTCATCTTCTGTGAGGTGAATTTAACCGTGTGCGTTTTCGGCCCATTATTTTTCTGGGTTTTAATGACCTTGTTTCATTCAATACACGGACTGATGCCCCTCTTGATCACATCTTGACCAATTACCCAAAGCTTTCTTGTATTAAAAATAGAGCTCCGCTCTCCGGGTCTGATCACTCAGTGCTACTAGGACTTCCAAAAGTCTAGTCCACCTTTAAGCGTCAACTGCTTACAAAACCCGAGAGGAAAATTACTGTTCGAGACACATCCGTAGATAAGATCCACTTACTGCAGAGTTCGATTACTAGTACCGTCCCAACTTTTCTAGCATTACAAAATGCTGAATTATGCTTCAACTATCTTACGCTATTTTTGAATCACATTTTTGATATTTGTTGTCCCCGTGAAACTGTTATGGTCAGGCCTGACAGAATCTCCTCACCATACCTCAAACACTTGAGACGTCGCAAAGAAGCCTTCTACAAACTAGGTCAGCGTGACAAGGTGAAGGAGATCAATGTTTTAATAAAGAACGAAATTGCCAGACTTAACGGTTTATTCGTTAGTCAACTTTTTTCTACTTCATCCACTCCCTCCTCTCCTATTCCTTCTGCTGAACTGTGGAGGAATCTCAAGCGTCTCACTGGTCAACGTTATATACTTGAACCAATTGATGTAGATTTAAACTCTTTAAATCGAAATTTTATCTGTACTTCTAACGACTCCCATTCTCGCCCACACGAAATTTACCTACCACCATGCGACTTTACTCCTGCTACTGTGAAAACAGTGGAACAACATCTCAAAAAGGTTCGCGGGTCAACGGCGGCTGGGCCGGATGGTGTCTCTCCTTTTTTCCTTAAGTCTTGCTGTTTGCAGATAGCTCCCGTCTTGACCCACCTTATTAATCTATCCTTCATAGAGTCCAAGATTCCTGACGCCTGGCGTACAGTAAGAATTACTCCAATCCCTAAAAAATCTTTAACTTTTGCTCGTAAATCTTTCCGTCCCATTGCCTGCTCTTCTGCACTCCTGAAACTTACTGAACGAGCTGCATTAGATTCCCTTAAGTACTCCTCCGTCAATTTTTCTGATCCTCTACAATTTGTATACAAGACAAAGCGTAGCACCTTGGATGCTGTTGCTTTAGTTGTCCATTCAGCTTGGAGAGACTTAGACAAGGGATGCCATGCATATGCATGTACTTTTCTCGACTACTCATCCGCCTTCAATACTATTCCGCGCCAACTCCTCCTGACCAAAGCAGCTGCGTGTGACGCTCCGAGCTGAGTTGTTTCTTCGCTTAGAGATTATTTCTTCTTCCGCACTCAGTTTTTCCAGTCGGGAAAGAGAATATCTTATATTCTTCCAAATAATTGTGGAGTTCTACAAGGTTCCATCTTATCCCCTCATCTTTTCTCTCTACATACTGATGGTTTGAGATTGCCAAACGACTGCCTGTATGTTAAGTATGCCGATGACATGGTCGTAGGCCACCCACTCAAAAACCTGACTCACCTACAGTCTTTAAAGGATGGCTTAGATCACGTCTCCGCATGGTTGTCGAATAATGGACTCCTACTCAACAATCAGAAATCAGTACAGTGTGTGTTTCGATTGCGATCCTCTCCCATTCCTGAACCTTTGGATATTCTTCCCAATGAGGTATCCTCTTTCCGGTACCTAGGTGTTACTTTGTCCTCATATCTCTCTTTCTCTCTTCATATGGAAACCCTTTTAACAAAAACTCAAATACTTGTTTATTACATTTGTCGTCTACGTTCATATCACACACCCCAGTCCTTAATCTGACGATTCATAGATGGCTGTATTCTGCCACTCATTCTTTACTGTTCTCCAGTTATTTTTCCAGCCTTACTTAAAAAAGATCATATTATTTTTAAACGTGCCATTCGAATGCTCGCCTCTGCTGCTGGTGTTTCCTATCATATTTTAGTTGATATCATCGTGCAGCGACACTTCAATACGGTGGAGCAATTTGCTGATCGAATTCTGAATGACACCGTCCATCCCCTTCATAATCAGTTAATGGCTGCGAAATCCTTACGCCCCATGCGTCGATGCTTCCGCCACATCCCTTGTCGCACTTCGGCTTATCAGAATTCCATACTGCCATTTGTAGCCCGGTATCTCACCTGCAAAGATGCTGAAAAACAAAAGCTAAAACTCGATCTTGCACCTTAAAGTCCTTTTTTCTTCATATATAATTATGTCCACCTGTCCAATACCTGTTAATCTCTATGGTTATCACTGTGTACTGGAGAACCGTTTTTGCTGAAAGTTTTGAATGTTTTTTTCAAAATAAAGCATTCCTCTTTCGCTTTCTACGTGCAGCGTATTTCCTTCATCAACTGACCGAGTCCAACGTTCCAAATAGTTGAGCAAGTTAGCCACGCAAGACCTGCCACTACGGCACCCATGCTGCTCATCAGATAATAGATTATGCTGCTATAGGAAGCGCATTAGCTCTCACTTAATTATTTTCTCCATGATTTTGCAGCAGATGGAGGTGAGGTTTATTGGTCTTTAATTGTTTGCAGAGGCCTTGCTGCCTCCTTTATACAGCGGTGTGATTCGTGCAGATTTCCAATCAGCGGGTAAACAGCCGGCTTCGAACGAGGCTTGATAAAGCATGGACAATGGTTTGGCTAGTTCAGCAGCGAGCTACTTCGGTACCTTAAGCTGTATGTCGTCTGGACCAGATGATTTCGACTCATTTAGCGTCATTAGCTCTTTGCGAACAGTCGCTTCATCAAAAGATACAGCATTACTTTTCGACCCTTATCGAACTCGTAGTCGGGAGGAGTAAATGCGCTTTCACTCGTAAAGATAGATTTAAAAAGTTGTTAAAAGTGCTCAGCTTTTTCTCCATCCGCACTAATCTCTACGTCTCCTCTTGTCTTCAGGAGGAGGCCTGGATATCTGTTTCGTGTGATGCTTCTTATGTAGCTATAGCATAATTTCGGATATTCCACAACACGATTCAGTAGGTCTTTTTCAAAATTTGCCGTGTCCCAAGGGTAAGTAGCTCGATTAAGTTGCTCTGAGCTTTGTATGCGTTTATGGATACAGGATTCCCATCAGTGAGAGATTTCTGTCACAATCTCCGTTTTTAACTAACTTCCTTTTTAATTCGTGAGTCAGTCATCTGGGACTATTGTTTAGTTCCCTCCGTGAAAGCGGGCAGTGGTTTGTTAAGTGAACATGCGATAACTCACTGAACCATTTCCCATCCTCCGCTATATTTCCGGAAAGGCTGATTCCCAAATAATGGCAGGTGCCGCTCACTGATTGTTTATGTAGAACTCGTTCGTTCCGTTGTGCCTTATGGGCTCTCTCTTGAGCCCAACCAGCAGCCGCACAGCGGCGCATGATATAGGCAATATGGTATTACCGACAAGGACAAAACAGAATACTAATCAGTCAATTAGTGTATTTGAGGGAAATAGGCTTACGCCTTTGAAATCCCTATTTGTACATAAAAAAATCGACAAAGAGGCAAAAATGTGAAGAAATTACAGCATTAAGTGAATCCATACATTGATTCACAT